ATTTGACTCAACTCTGTATGCAGCCGCGCAACACTCATTGGCTGGCCATGGTGGCAGAGAGGGCATCATAATGGCAGACTTTGTGGCAGACGACGCGGTTGTCCCCACCCTCTAAAGCGGCAGATAGAGGTGTGCGCGTAGAGGAACTATGGTGGCTAGAGGGGGGAAGTGTGACGGGCAAGAGCGGAGGGCTGTACGAATTCCCAATGAAAGATGGCGGCCACACCATGGATGGATGGATGGATGGATATGGCTGTACCCTTTAGATCGGGCAGTGGCTAGCGCCACCGAGCCGTAACACCTAATGAACCAAAAACTATATTTTTTTCCTTAAAAAAAGAGTTTGAGGATTCGTACTTTGCAGTGAAGAGTTTAATTTTCACTCGTGCCTTGACTTTAGCCACCAATCAGATAACCTCCTTCTAGTCAAGTCTACCCGCTTAAAGTTATTTTGCCCTCCGGTCCCTAAACCCCGTGCTTTGAAAAACTCTGCGCCATCATCCTGAACTATAGGGTGAACGCCCTTTACAGAACATTATCAAGTGTTCGGCAGTTTCTTCTTCCTCTCCACACGCACTGCATACTGTGTCTACCCCTTCGTATTTGGCCCGATATGTCTTGGTTCGCAGTACTCCCGTTCTGGCCTCAAACAGTAGAGAAACTACCCGGAGTATTATCATAGATCCTTTCCTTGCAATTCTGCTTAAAACGTTCGATAGATCTCTAGTGCGGACTTCTTTATCATGCCCATTCTCCACATGTCAGTCTCCGTTTCCTTCACTTTCTTCTTAACCGATAGTTCTTTTTGGTTTGGCCACCTGCTGTTTTCTAAGTATTTACCAGTCAACTTCCTGGTTCGCTTCCTCCATTTTGTATCGACATTCTTCATGTACAAGTAGCTGAAAACCTTCCTAGCCCAACGCTCTTCCCCCATTTCTCTCAATCGCTTCTCAAATTTTATCTTGCTGCTAGTTTCCCTGCCCTCAAATGATGTCCATCCCATATCACCTTGTACTCCCTGATTTGGTGTATTCCCGTGAGCTCCTAAAGCAAGCCTACCTATTGCACGTTGCCTAATTTCTAATCTTGCTTGAACTTCTGATCTCATGCACAAGACCGCATTGCCGAACGTCAGCCCAGGAACCATGACCCCTTTCCATATTCCTCTCACAACATCATACCTATTGTAATTCCACAGTGCCCTATTTTTCATGACTGCTGCATTCCTGTTACCTTTAGTCGTCACGTATATTTCGTGTTCCCTCAGATACTCGGTCCCATTGCTTATCCATACGCCCAGATATTTGTATTTATCTGTTATCTCTAGCGTGACCTCCTGTATTCTAAGCTCACTACCTTCGTTGTCATTGAAAATCATGACTGCTGATTTTTCCTTACTGAATTTAAAATCTAACCTATCTCCCTCATTACCGCAGATGTCCATAAATCTCTGCAAATCTTCCTTGTTGTTGGCCATTAGCACTATATCATCTGCGTACATTAATGCTGGTAGTGCCTGATCAATAAGTTTTCCTTGTTTGACTAAAGAGAGGTTGAAGCCCAGTCCACCTCCATCTAATTTTGCCTCTAATCCTTGTAGGTACATCATGAATAATAAGGGTGACAGGGGGCACCCCTGCCTAAGCCCCCGTTTTACGTCTGCAGGCTTGGATACCTGCTTTTCCCACTTTATAACTACCTTGTTACCTTATAGATACCCTTTAAAAGATTAGTGACTACATGTTCCACACCTAGTGTGTCCAGTATTCCCCACAATTCTTCTTGAACCACGCTATCGTACGCTCCCTTTGATATCCAAAAATGCTAGCCACAGGGGCCTGTTGTTCCTTTTTCTGCTATTTCGATGCACTGCGGCAGTGAGAACAGATTGTCTTCCAACCTCCTGTGTTTCCGAAAACCCATTCTGCAGTTCCCCCAGCACCCCCTCATCCTCTATCCACGCCTGCAGTCTTTCCTTTTATAATCTGCATCGCCAGCCTGTAGACCACTGATGTCACTGTTATAGGACGGTAGTTGTTTATGTCAGCTTTGTCCCCCTTTCCTTTATAGATCATGCTCATCCTGCTAAGTTTCCATCCATCGGGAACTCACCATCGATTATTATTGTGCTCACTGCCTCTTTCAAAGCCTGCTTAGACTTCGGACCTAATGTCTTATCAGCCTAATTGGAATGCCATCTGGGCCTGTGATGTAGCTACTAGGAACCCTTTCTCAGCCCTTTCCCACTCTTGTTGTTGACAAATGGAGCCATTGCACCACTTGATTCGTCCTCGTCTATTGTGGTGCATAAAGTACTTCTTTGTTGAAATTTTCTGTCACTGTTCGGTTCTATATAATTCAATAGCTTCGTCCCCTTCTAGCCTAGCACCTTGGGCTGTAGTTATGCCAGGTGGCGCTACCTGCGCCGTAGGTGCTTGCGGCGGTATTTGCCTGCTTTGCGTATAGCTGCTAGACGTTAGTTTCACTTCTTTCTAATAATCGCTTATACACCGCGCCCGTGCTGTTAAAGGCACTACGTGTTTGTTTCGCTAAGAAGCATGTGTTGTAAGTTCTGAGCGGTGCTAAGCAATAGAAAAAAAACAAGAATGCTTTTAAATCAGACGGAGGTTATCATATTTAAATGTTTCCTAATATCGGTTTCCTTTGACATGTTTAATCTGCAACAGCGTGCAAAACTAGGCGAGTTGGTTGATCTTCATGGTAAAAGCAGCGCAAAAGTACGGCGAGAAGGAGAACGACAGAGGACAGGCGCTAAATTTTCAGCGCCCGGCCTATGTCGTTCTTATTATCGTGTTCTTTGTTGAGCTAATTTACCATGTTTATAGTCTAGTTCATTGAAAGAAACGACTTGCCGACTTTACATTTCACAAAGAGGGAAAAAAACTAAACTGTTTCCATCATTCACGGCGAGTATATTGCTGCAGTGCAGTGCGTTTTTTAAAATTTTCTCTCAGTCCGTACCCCCCCCCCCCCTTCATTTCCTCTTAATTGTAGGGGCTTCCCTTCGGCGTGAAATCTTCGAAGCATTTACGTTTTCCGGCTCCTTTTCCTTGAGAAACTTGAAGTGGAGATTGGAATGCTGCAGCTGGAGGCTCTTTGATATTGAACATTTTGTTTGAATATTTTAGCGATAGTTCTATCTATGCAAGATCCAATGATTTTTGTTAACTTACGGCTTTAGATGCATACTAAATACACGCAAGGGAAATGGTAAAACATGTTTATTTTTCACACATTTGTCATAACATACTTCCATATCACGTTAAGAGGTCAAATTACTTGACCCTCCTCAACTTCAAGTGTTTCTGGCGCTCCCTTTGGACACTCCTGTCTTTGTTCAAAGATTTTGTCCAGAAGTGCATACGCGTGAGCAGAAAAAACTGGACTACTTTTGCGGTCAGTTCTTTGCTGTGAATTTCGCAGCCAACTCTATCCAGTTTGATACCTGCCAAGAACTGCATGAAATCGTGTATGCTGAAGGAGTGCAACTTTTCAGCAGAAAAGTAGAACGTAAATGTATCCTCCAAGGTTTTCACGTTTGGCCAGATTGTCACAAGGATACAGCAATCCTCCTTTGTCGAATTCACAGACTAATTCACTGTTCGGTTTGACAATGGCTCCTGATTTCTTGGTGGCAAGAGTGGAAATGAACTCGTTGCAAGAGCGTTTTTTGTTGAATTTTTTCGCAACATAGCCAGCAACGTAATAAATGAGACGGCTGTCACTTTTCTGAACGGCGTAGCTGCTGTGGTCACCACTTAGAGACTGCAGTGTAGAACTAGCCCCATCAACATCTCCAACTTCAAGCATATCTTCGATCATGTCTCGTATGCCGAAAATGGCATCACCTGTGGCTGGTGATGAAGTGTCAATGAGAGCTGTTACTAGCTCTGCTGGGGAGTTCCCACTCTTTGGTGGTCTAGCAAGATTGTAAAAAGACAAGCAATTTACAGTCACTAGGAACTGCCCGGGATTTGGATGGTCATTAGTACCAGAATATTGCCTAATTATTCCGAAAACATTCTCTAGTTTGTCCTGGCTGAGTCGGGCTGTTAGCATGTACCTAAAGCCGAGAGACTTTGTCAAGTAGGTAAGACGTGAAAGCGTGCTACATAAAGTAACACGCAAACCTTCTGCAGTGCTCTTACTCACGAATCCCCACCGGCTGTCTTTGCTGCTGCTTCCCAGTGATCCATAAATAAAAGGAACGCCTCGAGCTCAGCAACTTTCTCTGATGATGGTCTGAGCCCCTCTCGCGGGCACCTGGACGTCATCACAGCTATTAGTCGACTCATTCGCTTTACAAGCTCCACTGTGGGCATTAGTTTTGAACGAGAAATCTCGTCAATGTCTGATGCGAACAAAAACATGCCTTTCAAAACTTCATCACTGAACAGTGTGAACGCCAAGTTAACTTTCATTTTCTCAAAAGAATTGGGCCGAATGTGCACTCTCGTAATATGTGGCATGGCCTTCAGAGTTAAAGAACTTTTGTCTTTCTCCCATGCCGCCTCAATGTCCTCAACACACGCACGACCATCCTTAGTGGTGAACCCGGTGCTTACAAATGAGTTGCGAACACATTTCACTAAATGTGGGAAGTCGGAGCAGAAGTGAAGCTTTCTGGAGGGGTCCACAGGGTGGGTAACATTGCAGGTGGTCTTGACTGAGGATGCTGAAATAAAAAAAAAGAAACAGTCAGCATCTCTGCTTTTCAAACCTCACTGTTCTGGGAATATATCGCTGATATTGAGATGCATATATATTGTTTCACGTGCCCCATGCACATAGCAGGCATGTTGAAATTGGCCACAATAGAACAAATAGTTCTGTTTCATACCGCCAATTCCAAATGACCTCCACATGCTCCGATTCCAGGTCGCTCCATCACAGGATACAAAGTCGACGAAAAGTCCGGCTTGTTCTGACAGTAGAATGGCCTCTTGAAGAAGCTTCGCCAGCATTTCTGCTTTGATGGTCCCTTTGGATGAAAACACTCCCAATATCTGTGTCCAGTCACCTGCACAAAATCAGTCATATAGTTAGACTCATGTTTATAGCAAGACAGCTGCCTGACCTGCTAAGTTGTTTCGCACAAAATTGACAGGCTTTCTTGCACCTTACACAAGTGCAATTCGCTATGCTGACTAGGCACTCTCAATAAACGTGACATCTAATAAGGAGCCGACTTGAAGTTCCTCATTAATTTGGCAAAGTGAAAGTGCTTTTATCAGTAAACATGTGTTGGCACACAAAATTGATAATAACGCTTCCTCACCTTGAAAAGGTTGAAACATCATCACCATCCCATGGTCGGCTGGAGTCGTCCGATCTTCCTCCTGGGTGAACTTTCCGAGGTCAACGAAGCCTTCCACTGTCCCTGGAAATAAGTTAAAAACGAAAAACTGATTGCCTCCGCAGTATAAAAACAGGCCCTATACTGGGCAAACGTGGTGCATCTTCAGTGATCTGATGCTCGATTGAAGAAATGGTAGCGCTTACCTGCTGCACTGACGTTGAAATGCTCAGCCAACTTCTTCTCATCGAAGATGATGCCTCCATGTCTACTGTAGATGTCCATATCTTTAGTCTTGATAGCAAGGGCGTTGAAAACTGCTTTGTTAAATCCAAAGCCACTTTTGAAGCTGCGAGTATAGCGCTGGAGACACGTCCTGCTTGGTAATATAAGAACTTTTTGCTTACGAAGCTGCTCGTATAGTTTAGGACTACGCATCCGCAGAATTACACACTCCAAAATCCATTCCTTCTCATACAACATCCCAGATGTTGATTTTCTTGTAGCTGCCTCGAAGCAGGCCCTGACAGCCATTTGTTGCTTTTCAGGCAAACTTTTAATGCGAGCGCCCAGCACCTCGTCGGCAATTTGTTGATTTGCCTGCCGCATCGCTGCTAATTCGCGTTCTGCATTCAGCAGCTTCTTCTGAGCAGTACGCAAGCTGCGGCGTGTGTTAGCGAGCTTCTTCTGACGTTTGTACATGCCCCCGCTACGCCGCTTTCGCGACATTTGGTTTCGCACCAGTTTTCTGAGGTATTTGCAGTGTATGCAGGAGCCACTCTCACACACATAAGTACACTTGGCAGAAAAGTAATTCCCAGCAAACAATACATACTGTCCTTGTTTTTCCGGTCTCATGCCACAGCCTTGACACAATGCAAGTGCATGTGGGCTGTCGAGCACCGACTGCGCTTCTTCCGGCGAGGAGACGGTACACTGTGAATGCAGTTTGCCCCTCAAGTATACAAAGCAACACAATGAGTTCTGTTGGCTGCTATTAGCTTTGAATTTCACAAACTTGGGCAGCAAGATGTGGTCCACCTGCTCGCCCTCGAGCTCACAAACGCCGTATAACGCAGAATCACGTTCACTGCAAAACGTTAACTTGTTCCATGTTTCGTCGGGTAGACGGAGGTTGCCGCACACCCTTTGAACTTCGGCGTCGGCGTGAACTGCATCAGATGTCTCCACCTCGGGAAGAACATTGGGATCCTCGTGCTCCTGCTGCTGCACGTGTGCTTCGGGCTCTTGCCTGCTGACAGAGTTCGGCTTTTGCCGTTTTTTAGCAGGTCCGCGCTGCTCACATATATTTCTGTCCTTTCTTTTCACGGGCGCTTTTTTGGTAAAGTACTTCGGTGCGTCTGGGAACAGCGTAGGCACCGCTTCTTCTGATAAACGCGGACAATCGCGGGGTATCTCGACAACCTCACCGTTTATAATGTGGCGGTATGTCCTTTCGATGAAACTGGCGTCGAAATGCCGCTCGCAAACGACACTGTCTCTCGTCAGCTCTTTGTCAGCCCGCTTAATATTTCGAGCCCATTGCTCTCGCCTCGAGAGATCCTTCAGGGCTTTAAAGACGGAAAGCTTCTCCGAGCACGATCTATACCCGCCTTTACAGCCAGGGACGAAGCATGTACTTGCACGACTTGACGGCATGGTTCACAGAACACATGGGTAAACAAACGACAGCGAGCGCGTAGCATCCGAACAAGGTGACGGCACAGCACAGAGAGAACGAGCGTGCCAAAGCAAGCGTGGCGAGCACCTACTACTACACCAGTGCCCCTTGCGGCGGCCAGAACTTTCATTGCGTTCCGCGCATCCCTCTCCCATGGCGGGGATACAGCGCCCGTCACACTTCCCCCCTCTAGCCACCATAGAGGAACCCTAATGGCCTCCGAAACCGCGCGCAACCTGTCGGCGCGCCATATCGGAGGTCTATACTGGTCAAAGCTCAAATCGTCGAGCGCGCGTCGACATGATGGCTCTGCGATGCCAGCATGCCCCATCAGTTGAGGCCAGGCAGATGTGAGAGGAGGGTAGGGTATAATTGTCCGTGGTGGCCTCGGTACTCGGCGTCACTAATTTTGTGGTGCGTATGGTTTATGATGTACAGCCTCAACACTGACAAAACTTCAAAAAACAGGTTCAGGGTCCCTTTAACATACCAGGGAAGTGTCATTCTCAGGCTTAGTGGTTATCATCGTGCGCTGAGGTGCGTGAGGATGGTTCTACCCTCAGCTGCAGAATATATCCTTCTCGTTTTTCTTTGCGATCTGTATATATATTAATATTATACTTAATACCTGTGCTGGAAATGCGTGACGGAGTCGTGGTGTACCCGAGTATAGCACTTTCATGTTAAAAAACTAAATTTGAGAAATGTTTTGATGCAACTGTTTAAACACAGTTGTTCATATTGTGCAACAAATACTTGCAATGGGGTCTAATAAAACCCCTTTAACGCCCATACAACAACTTTGGTTTCCATAGCATAGGATTAGCCAATAGCTGATGAGAAGTTCTGACAGCACATCTTGAAGCAAGAGGGCTGGTGCAACTGCCATGTCCTGAATGATGCCCCACAAGCTCGTGGTTTCCGTACAGGTGAGCAAAAACCTGCCTAGCAAGGGTTAGGGAGTGCAAGTTTCTGGTTGGCATAGCAATGTTTTACGTGTGGAGCTTTACTTGCCTTGGTTATATTGTAACAAACATGTCGGACATTTTTTATAAAGTGGTGGTCCTAGGTTTTAAGACTAGCCCAAACTTATCAACACTCTTCTCTCTCTCTACAGAAAAAGAACATACAAAATTTCTATCAGGTGGACAGCAAGATTGTGATACAACTTTTTATTTAAAACTATAGGCATTGCTTCCAGGTAATGCACAATTGAAAAGTACAGAGTGGATATTTGGCGATGTAGTCTTTTAAATACAGAATCAAAGATTTGCACTGCACTGCATTCACAAGGATCAAAGCAGATGCAAACAGTCGAAAACACCAAAAAAAGAAGGGCTAACTTGATCAACAAGTTTAACTACAGCTCACGTCGTCGATGGCGGCACAGACTCTGAAGGTAAGAGTCTACGCACCAATGCACACCAGATGAACAGCATAAACTTGCACCTGGAGAGTAGTGACATGCCCAAATGTAACAAAGCTTGAGAAGCTCACTTCAAAAGGCATGTACACGTGCAAAGCAAGCCCACAGTTCATCATTCATACCGACTTCATAAAGGACTAACCAAAGTGGCAAAGCTTTGTAAACCAGTGGTGCTATCGCACCAAAATACCTGAATGGAAAATAGAAAGTAAAAGCATCCGTTGCATATATATTCTCAAAAATGCAGCACATGGAATTCCTGCACACCTGGCCTGTACACATTCCACACAGTACAAACTTCCATTTGAAAAAATAGCCCAATGCCACATGCATCGCCAAACATTGACATGCCAAATCCACATCTTGGTTCACTTTTTCCCACTTATTCTGAATTTCGGCCTCGCACAACAAAACGGCTGAGGAACAAACTGATTAAACAGTGCAGGCAGAATCGCTAACCCACAACCAGCCGCAATGTTTGCGCATCAACAGAGAGAGAAAGTAAAAAGAAAACAGGAACTGCATAGAGAATTGAGCGAGGCATGCCCAGTAGGCACGACATAAGTCATCAGCCATGATACTCTATCGCTACACCAAGCCGAAGCAATTATCGTGGGAGCACAGCAGCAATACGCAAAACCCATTTCCAGCTTTACCTCTAACTGCTAGAAAAGTTCAACAAAATACAGTCATCGCCATGGCAACAACGTGCATCCTAAGAAATACCAGTAGTTAAGACAATTAATACTACCAGAAAATACTAATTTCTCTCTGATTTAAGGGGAATAATTAGCTGATGCAAGATCCGATACCACTGGCCATTGCTACGAAATGTCTGCTCTTATGCGTCCTTGTAATAGGCCTCTTCCAGAGATGCACAATTACACATCTGCATTTGTCGCCATTCATTGTTTTACACATGTTTGCACAGACTCACACAGGTCACTGCTTGTTTGCTCTACACATTACACAGCCTATTCAGCCATACTCATTCACAATAACGAGATCATTGCCAAGTTCATTTACTAGTTCAGGCTTATATTTTGATCTCGCTTGACATTACATTGATGCTCTGCCTAAATATGACCTCGGACATAGCAACCGGTAGGAAGTCACAGTACAAAGCCTCTTTAAATAACAAGAACTGAGAAGCACTAAATTCTGTCGTTAATACATGAATGTTAACCGGTAGTAGACTAGCTGAATGATGGGAAAGGTCATTCAAGAAATTGATAATACAATGTAAGTGAGGATGTGTACAATCAATGGAACTTTAGAAGAAAAAAAATTTAAGCTGGAGTATTTACATCGTCTATCGCATTTGTACTAGTCTGTAAAACATGGCGCAGCCCACACAATTCCACACTGCACAAAATGCTAGTAGCCTTATATTTTCAAGCAAGCTGGCGATCAAAGGTTGCAAGATTTCTCGAAGCCTGCTTATTGTCAGATGAAAAAAATTAAAAAATGTGCCTCTGCTTAACAGAAGCACTATGACAGTAACTGTGTGTAGATATATCAGCGGAAATATGCCACAAGCATTTTTAGCTGCACTAGAACACCTGAATTATTCAAGTTTAAGTTTTTCACATTGTCAACATCACCTGCACACTTCCAGCATTAGAGATTTTAATACTGGAACTTATTTTGCACAGCCATTCTGGAGGTTTCACCATAAACCACGCAGATTTTAAAATAAATCTTAAAAATGAAAGTTATTAACCGGTATGGACAAGCACAGCTGATGCAATTTAATGCAAATACAACATTTTAGATACATTGCGATTGGTAACCTGGCTCAACATGTTCACCACTCATGGCAGATGAACGCCTAATAACAGAGAGTGTTAAGGTAAATAAGTTGAAAGTCTTAAGGCAATGAAGCTCAACCGATCGAATGTTACTTTCCGGACGTGTAATGGGTGCTTCCATTCGCAAAAGGAAAAATGATGACGTACTTGAAGCGGCCAATGTTACACGCACATGTTTCTTTCTTAGCAGCACAGTTGATATGCTACCGAGAAACTAAGTCGGGATAACGACTGAGAAGGCGATGGAAACAGAATCTTGATTCTTAAACTCGAAGCTCAAGTGTGCAAGCTTTTAGGCATCTTCCTTCACTATTTCGAAACATTGAATTAAAATGGCAAATGACAACCAACTATAATTGCTTAAAAGGTTGGGTTAATTACAATTTTCAAATAACTTAATCATATATGGAATTAGAAAGGCTTGGTTACCTGGCATAGCAGTTCCGACAGTACACTGTTTTAGCAGAAAAGTAACAGCAGAAGCTCTTCCACATTGGCGAAATAGAGCTGATCAATGTAGCAACTGTCAAGGCAAACACTAATATTTTCTTCTGCAGCTTCTTTTGCTACGTTCTTAATGCTGTGAAATGTCAGAATCTTGAATAAGGATTGTCTTGGTTCAAAGTGCCCCAAAATGAAATTCAAGTCTTGAAATGCCTTCAAATGGCACTGCATCTGAGATCTGCATATTTAACAAAGATTTTCAGTAAGGTTCGCATTTGGGTGTATGTTGGTACGGTTTTGATGATAAAATAAAGGTAACCCCAAAACACCGACAAGACACCACAAGCATTCGTGCAGTGTCGTCCAACTCGTGGTTCTTTCATGCCATGTTCATTTCACCACAAAGACTCTCTTTACATAAATACGAAACTACACAACTACATTGTGGATTAAATCATGGCTTTCATGGCTACAGTAATACCGGCGTCACATGGATACTTTTAATCACGATCAGTGTCGATCTGGATTAACCTTGATCCAGATTAGGCACTGTTACACGGTCACTTTTAATCACGATCAGGTGTAACCGGGATCAAGACTATCGCAATCCTGCGATCTGCCTGAGAGATCACGATTTTGCTGTCATCTGTACACCCTAGCTGAGCTTGTTGAAAGCACAATAAACAAGAAAATCGAGCATAGTTCAATAAGACGCTTCAAAACAGCTAGATTTTTATAAAAAAGCAAGGTCTAAGCTGTTCGAATTGGAACAATATCTGAAGTATTGCATATTTTAGGATTCGCATCGACCGCATGTAGTTACGGGAGAAGCAGACGACAAGCAAACAACAAGCAGTCGACCTGTTGCCTTCAGTGCTTAGTTCCAACTCTCGCTCCGTCGGAGCTGTTGAAGCACCTAGAAGCAAACTGATAATGAGTGTCGCAAGCCTTTCGACTATGTCGCAACGTATGCACATTTCGTGGTCGAATGAAGAGATCTTTACAGTAATGACTGCTAGCAAGAGCGATTGGAACAGACTTGAGGTGCCAGAAGTGAAACACTGGCGCGTACAACGAGATTGACGCTTCGCTGCGACTGCACGGCTACGAGCGGGGGCTATCAGAAATAAAAGCGAAGGCTAAGAATCCCACACAGCAATCTCACACAGGTAAGTGCTAGGAAAACTTTATCAAATGATGGATTTATGAAATGACTATCGTAGTGGCATGCAAAGTTTTTGATGTTCGAGCGGTTCTTGCACAAATAACATTGCTGATAAAGGGCTTGTCAGTGGGCATGTTTTACAACACGCAAACGCCACCTGGGGCATTCCTCCGACCCAAGCTCGAACCAGATTAGCTTGGGCCGTGTAGCAGCGGTCATAAAGTTAATCGCGATCAAGAAAACTGATCTGGATCCCCCTGATTGAGATTAAAAGTGCCCGTGTGACACCAATATAAAACTTCAGATAGGTATAATGTAATCATCACATATGCCATATTACAAGAAGCATAAAAAGAAACGTGCAAGCAATTGAACATGTCTTGTTTGTCTATCATGGTAGAAACAATGCAATTTTTCAGGCTTGCTTATGCACGTTTAGGAATGGAATTGAGATGAAAGATTGCCAGTCAATCCCCAGCCTGCTAGGAAACTGTAAATATTAGGAAAGACTGCCAGGCTGGTAGCATCCTAGTGCAAGACAGTAGCCATTCATGCCATTTACCAAGTACACTGGCATCTTACATCATGTCAGTGAAGGCCATAAAACATCTTAATGACCCTAAATAGAAAAACTACTAGCAACATTACCGCACCTCAGTGTGCAAAATGCAAGCGAAGAAAAGTGCTCAAAACCATTCCATCAAATCACTCAACGAAAGCTTCTTTCATGCGATTTTGCCCTCAAAATTTGAGGCCGTAATAACCACAGCACTGGAGTAGCGACATAATTCGACTATGTTACTTTAAAGCACCTTGTGGGAAAATCTAAGAAACAGGCATAATCCACAACCAGGACAAGTCATTTCCGTTTATACTGGCATGGTGAAATACTTTTTCTGAATTTCATTATAATTAATTTTGATATCCCAGGCTTATTAAAGAGAAAATTAATGTCAACGTGTCACTTTTGAATATTGAATGAAAGCACCAAAACCTGAGGTCACAGCCTCCAATGTGCCTCTCGTAATTTCGCTCATTTTTTCACTGAAGGATAAGTTCCTGGCTCCCTTAAAACACACCATTTTCATCAATGAAGAAACATGTAGGTCTCAGCAGATTTTGTCAAAAGAATGTCACGAAGAAATGCAGCCACTTCAAGGGGGCAACACAGTCAATTTCCTTTTTGCATGTTGCCTGCATTCTCACCTTCCAAGTGTCGTTTCATGGCAAAAGAGGTTTCCTCAACTGTAGAGAGGCAATTCACTAGTATAATTTTAATAACTTTTCTCATAAGTGCACCTTTAGTTTTAACCAACAAGCCTCAACACAACTCCAACATACCGTCACGCGAGTCTTGATTATTTATATTCTCACATGAAGTGACACACGAGCAGTCATCACCACATGTCAGCAAAATGAGTGGGGCTCACTCAATAATAGTTTTTCACTCACTGGTACTCACTCCCCGAAATTCGGCTGAAGCGGACTCGCTTGCATTCAGACTCCAGAAACTTTTCCTCAAGCACGCTCACTTGGACTCGGAATCACTAAAACTTTCCTCAAACGGACTGGTCCGAACTCAGATTCACGAAAATTTTGTCTAGCCACACTCGCTCACACTCGTGAATGTTTTCGTCAAACAGATTCACTCGAACTCAGGCTCGCAGCTCAATCAGTCTGAGTGATTCGAATCATGAGCGAGTTTGCAGGGATGTGGTTATCACGCTTGAACTTGAAGCATCATTATTAGCAGAGATGTCTAGCTGGCCAGTTGGAGATATCACGCTTGTGTTTCTTTTGCATAGATCTGATCATGTACTGTATATTTTTTTTTCATCTGTCTACAAGTGCAGGGTTATAAAAATATGGAGTATAAAAAAAGTACTTTCATACTTTGTTCCAGCAATGTGCGACTAAGTGAATTCCTCTAACATATCATCCCAGTAGTTATACTCAAAGAAATCGCAGGCCTGCTCAGATGTTACATCTTTATTTTCATCTTTAATACAAGCAAAAAGCAAAAACTAAATGCTCATTGCCATGTACCACAACGTATGTAATAAAAAACTATAACAAACGAAGATAAGTAAACCTAAAAGTTGTTGACAGAAAATATACCCTATGTTTCATTTCAAACTGCTCTTTATTGATCCCAATTGCATACTTGAAGGTGCGTTACGAACGAAAATCTTACTGGTGCGTCACAATGCAGTAAAATTAAAAATATGAACATTTCCCAGGTCGATTTACAGATGCAATACACCAGTGGTGTTTCGATTTGCATTCGCGCAAGCACCAATCAATTACTAAACTAACTACTTGACTGGTAGATGCTTAATGCCCCGTGAAAACAGTCTTGCTTTGTTCATAAGTAAATGTCAGGCAAAACAAAATAATTTGCGGGTCCAGTTACAAACAAAATACACATCGCTTGAGTCATTGAATAGATTTGCCACTCTTGTTTCAGGACAGTCACAGAAACAATCACCTGTAACCCACCCACACTAACAGATTCCAAGCATCCAATATCAAAGCACAACTTACAGTACCTATGAATACACCCCAAAGTAATAAAAATGTGCAAGATGCCATTCAAGTGCTTTGCTACATACTCCTAAAGACTATCACTGAAATGGTCAGAATTTGCAATATGAAAGTTATTCCGAATTTTCAGAAAATCAGACCACTTCTGCTAACTTAACAAGCACCGTCACAGGAAACAAACAACACTTTCTGATTTGCAAAAACAAATTTGGCAACTACAGACTTACAAAATTCAGCAGACAGAACAAAAGTCGAAATTGATATGACGAGTGCATTGTGATCAAGACTCAAGTCGAATAGCAAGAAAAATTGTGGAAGATAGTCATCCACTAGTTGCAAACAAAAGTGGCTTATGGAAATCACGCAAAACAGCTTTGCAAACCCCGCAGACAAACAATCAAAAACAGAGTAGCAACACAACAGAACAGCGATGAAAGCAAAGGTTTGGAATATATGTCACTCTTGAATCATGCTGCGAAAAAAAAAAAAAACCAGTTTGAATGACTATGATTTCTGCTGAATTCTGCAGTTCACGTGGCGCAAATTATCCATAGTTAACAGCTCGATCCTGGCCTTCCGACTCGTCTTGCCTAGGTCTGTGGAAAGTAGACTATTTCTGCAAACAGCAAAACGTTTTGTGCTGTTTGTTCTCTGCGAAGGTAACAAACAACAGCCACACAATCTGGCTCGAATCTGAAGAACGGACATCGGCTGCTGCAATCAACTTGCATGCACATACATTGGAAGCTCGCACAGACTCCACACAATGACTCCAGCTCACACAAAGCGCACAATCGTAATATAAGTGCTGTCAATCTTTGAGAATGAAAACACAATTAATGCTTACACAAACAAGATCGTGCCAACATAATTCCTATGCCTGTACACAAAGCTTACAAAAACTAGTTTGCAGGTCAGCAGCTTTCCCTAAAGAGCATTTCAAGGCTAGTCCCATCAAACCCACGGGCTGTTCCCTTGCTATACTCTCTAGTTACTTGGAAAAACCATGCACTAAGTGCGTAGTAAACATGCAAGTGAAAAAGTTGCACAATCCGAGAATGATAGGAATGGAAAAACCTATGCCACATGAACTCACAGCCACATGAACCACAAACTTAGCAATCAAATTCCTAGATGTACACAACACTGCTTAAATAAGAACACCATAGTCAAACTACTACTTCTGTTTAATTGCTAACTTTGTGACTTTGCGCAAGGGTGGCATTTGGCAGTGCACACAGCTTAGTGTGATGCTTGCTGGGTCTCAACAAGTTGTTCTTCTAAACCGAATTGTGCAGTGGCAAAACAGAATCGAATACAAAGAAATTTTCATTAAATAACAGCACTTTTCACGCTTCATACATATTGATGCCTCACATCTCACTTTGACACTGTTAGCATTTGTCGTATGATGCTTTTAGAAGGACCAATGTAAAAGCAGGAACAAGTACACAGCTTCGAGTTTCAAAATATCCTTGCCAAATGAAAATGTGACTGCAGATGAGCCAAAGATTTTCCCAAGAGAGTGATGTGTGCACTGGCATCCTTATTTATGCAGCACTCGGTACATCAGGAAAAAATGGCACCTACAAAACAAAAACAAGTGTGCCCAGTCTATGACCTCCTGCTCCTCGACCAAACGAACCCCCCCAGAGGCTTTCTTTCTCAAGACTAAGAGAGAATAAAGGTACCTCACAGAAGAGCATAGTCACTAGAGTGGCAGCACAGCACAATACGAAAGTTGGGGACAGGTCCTTCTATCTTTTGCTGTGCCCCAATTTTTGTAATTATTGATGCAACACCAAGCCGAGCCACGTGCTTTACTGGAAGAACAGACTAGCATTGTCAGTAGAGTCACTACTGCACAGTAGTTCAACACGGAACCGAGGAATGAGCGACAAAAAGGGTACAAAGGTGTCAACAAACAAAACAAAACATCACTCTTTGAGATTAAAAAACGCAGCCGGACACACGGAAGGAAAGGCCACTGAAATGAGTGTGGTGGCTGCAGTGCCTGCAGCTCCGTACGGGACATAGCATCATGACGAGGAGGTGCCGAAGTCCTTGAGGTGTTCCTCAATGTCCACACGGCAGATCGGGCAGCGCTTGTTGGTCGTCAGCCACTGGTCCACGCACACAATGTGAAAGAGGTGCATGCAGGGAAGACGCCTGCAACAAAAACAAAAAGGGTTTGTTAACTGCCTGCCTATACACAATACCTTAAAGGCTCCATAGAGCCATGACATATAGGAGAAAAGAAAATTATATTCACGTTAGAATAACAATGTAGGCAATTTAATCATCAAACACTTGTTAAATTGAACTGCTACCTTTTGTAGAAAAGTGTCAACTGCAAAGAATTCATTCTTCCACAGGAAGTGCTGAATGAATGTTCTTTGTACCTTTTGCCCAGTGTAGCAATATACACAGTGTAACAATATGGTATTGTTTGAATATTTGAAACATTCAAATACTCACCATCTCTACTCAACGTTTTTGAAATGCCCCTTGTGGTCACAAAAGGCCACTAGCAAACGGTCATGCGAGAAAATTGAAATCAGCACTTTGAATAAAATAAGATAAGACTTTTGTAGACTGTAGTTAAGGGGGGAAGAGGCACTTAGCCATCAGGCATCTTATTATTTAAGCCTAGGGTGATAAATGCTTGTGAGATGGTGTATTTACATGTGCAGATGTCAAATATAAACTCAGTTTTTATGTACCTCTTACCGTTTTGTTTTTAATTAGTCATTAATTAAAGGTTCTTTCGATCACCTTTTCAGTAAATTGGCTGTACTGATCTTGCTGAATTAAATGTCATTGCATTCTACAATGATCAAAGAGTGCAGAAAAGCAAGTTTCATGACTCTAGCTTTTCTATAACAAACGTTATAAAGCTTATAAGTTCATCCCTTCCATTATCGAAGAACGATAATTTTTGTATTTTATTTTTTCTAAAATTTATGGTGTCCTATAGTTGCATATGGCACTTTCTTGCACTCACTAAGGCATTCAGCTTCTCAGCAAGACAAAAATTATCAAATTCCAGTGTACCAAAGCTGAGAAGCGCTTGTCAGGCTTGTCAGAAGAATGAAAGGTGGCCAAAAACTGAAACTGAGAAAATGGCAAAAAACAAAGCTCTGTATATTCAAGAAATTCTACCCAAACGAAAATGCTTCTCTTTGCATATAAATGCCTCAGAAAGCACCAGGGCAGTAGTCTTTGTCACACTTTTGTCGTTGCCGCCGACTTTGCTTGTTGCAGGAACCTGGAAGATGCTGAACGCTTTCGCTCGGCACTCGTGATCCGACGAGAATCCTTCTCTTCTGCCCGTCGCTCGCTCATGGAGTTTTTCTCTAGCTGAAGTTCTTTGAGGATACGTGTGGAGGCTTCTTTCATTCCTGAATTGAAGCACATCACGGCCTCAGCAACTGCAGTCTTAACAGCTATGAGTGAAGCATGCTTCTCTTTAGGCATTAGAGACCATATGACAGAATGGAGTGCCTCGTTTGCATTTTGTGTCTTGCCTCTTTGGCAGCGTTTTAGCAGCTCCTTGTCACAAAGTCGCTTGGACTAGAAGTAGTGCATCACGGTCATTTTGTGGGAAGTTGTAGGTGTGTCTTGGCAGCGGTTCTCCCCTTGCAGCAGCAGCATTCTTATTGCACCATGAGTCACTGCCACTTGGGCACAAGGTGTGGTCGGACCTTTCATCAGTCGATGTCACATGATAATATGTGGCCATGGCTGCCCGGTGCATTGCATCTACGTCACCAACATTGGACTTCAGAGCCCAGCCATAAGATCTCGACAATTTCTCTACGACATCACCTGTCAAGCGGCCTCTCTTCCACTTGCGTGTTTCGCTAGAACCTTTATGCTTTTGAACAAGATTGCGTAGTACGGTACCCATTAGTTTTTGGACATGGTTTATACAGTCCTCTTTTTGAACCTGTATGAAACCACAAACTGTCCGAGTCTTCAACGGCACGGAATGATCTACTGTCCCCATCACACAGCATCACTGTGTAATGCAAGCCGTGATGGGAAATTGAGCGCTCAAAGAGAGTGACTCCTGCCTCCACTTCCATGTGCCCTGATTTTCACTGTGTATTTTTCTGGCAGATGTGCGTGGACTCCCAAACCAAGTAATTCGGGTGCTCTTTTGGTGGTGCTGCTTGCAGCCGGCACAAAAATTTGACAGGACAACATAGTCTCAAACATAGCCAGAAAACATCTCTATAACAACGACAGGTGGCCTCTGGTCATCCATGTGCCATCATAACAGATGGCCACATTACCAGGGTTGTCAAAGCACAGATCTTGGTATAATGTTTTCACTGACATGGTGCAATCAGAGAGGACATTCTTTGCAGCTCTTGTTGCCGCAGGATTCAGTTTATTTTTCAAATGGCTCTGATAGCTTTTGTGGTGAAGTCCCCTGTGAGAAATCCCCGTTACAAAGAAGACGTTCTTTAGGGCTGCCTGGCCATTCCCTGTGCTTTTCACGGCACGAGACGCATGGATATTCACTTCAAATGCAGCGCATTTAGCCTGGCTGGGTACCCTTCCAGAGCTCCACTCACTGTCAACAAAGTTGCGGCACTCTGAAATCAGCTTCTTCGCAAGTCCATATTCTTGCTTCCTTATTTCAATAGAAATGGTCCCGCTGCATGTCAAGCATTTAGCTGTTCTTTCAAGAAGCTTGTTTATCGTGGATAAGTCGACGATCTCGTAGGTAGCCGCTGACGGGTACGAGTCCTCGCGCGCTGTCGTGAGCGTTGGCACCTTGCACTCGCTCGCCGAAGTTGCCGATAAGCTGCTGATCTTATCAGCATTCACTTTCTTCTGTTGTTCACGATCGGCGCTCGTCAAAAAGGTTGTGTCTTTCCTTATGCGCTGCCTATTGCTGATGTCGTCTGGGAAGGGGGCCGGGGAAACAGATGGAGATGTCGGTGTTTCAACCGACGGATCGTGTTCCGTCGCCGCGCCGTCCTGTACTAGGTGCGCGTTGGATATACCCGCGCCAATATCTCTTTTTGCCATAGATTTCTTGCGCTTTTTTCCAAAATTGTGAGGGGTGCGGAACTTGCGATACAGCTTCAGCATGATAAAAGGTTCAAGCTAGGTTCAAAATGTGGCCGAGAGCGTAAGCCTAACGCACTTGCCGGTGGCTGCGGCGTGCTTGTCAGGCTGGTTCGACGACATGCCTGAATGTGCAGACTTGAAAAACGCTTGCTTCAATTTCTCGCTAGCTCGCGCAGGCTCAGGAAGCCGACAATAACAATGACATGTGAGCGAGATACACTCGCCGCTTCACGTGCGCTCCACTGCCGCACGCAGCAGACAGCTCGGGAAAACTCGGCGGGGAGCGTAGGTTTACCGCACTGTCCTGGCGGCTTCGTCGAGCTCGTTCAGCGCCGTACCAGTATACCGTCGAACGTAGAGACTATACAGAGATGCTTGCTCTAGCTCACGCGAGTTCAGGAAACCGACGAGAACAAAGTGACATACACTCGCCGCTTCGCGTGCGCTCCGCTGCCGCACGCAGCAGACAGCTCGGGAGGCCCAGCGAATCGGAAGATGCGATTTAGTCACGTGTGCTCACCGCACCAATAGGCTCACGCGAGGGGGCTTTTTTTTTTACGCTGATTCACGGCGTGCATACTGAATGGACAAAAACAAGCGCGGCGGGATATGAAAGAAAAAGGGCGGCTCTTTCGAATGCGACCAAGACAACTGCTGTAGCAAGCGTAGAACGGCAACACCACGGCGCTGAAAAAGTCTGTTTTTCACGCGTCCATCGCCAAAAATTCAGCTCACTAACGTCGCAAAAACTACTCTCATGGCTAAATTACCAATCTAAGACCCGTGAAAATTGGCGATATTATGCAGCGATAGTGGGAGAATCCAAATACAGTAGAACCCCCCTGATACGCTTTTTACGGGACCGTAAAAAAAAAACGTAATAGCCGGAAAACGCAGAAGCCGAGAAACGCGAAAAATTGAGAAATAAGAGTAGTGGTGAACTGCACATAGTTCTATTTTAATCCTTTCGCTTGAAAAAATCATGCAGCGTTGCCTGGCGCATCTTCTCACGCTCGACAAGCAAAAGGCGTTTTTCAAGCACCTGTAGTGCCATGTGACTCTCGCCATCGCCACTGGTGCACACATATCTTCGCAATAAATCCAGTGCCACTACGGCCGATGAGGACGGTGGCTCCGGTATACGCTCTACCTCCTCCTCAACTTCCTCGTCACTGGCGCACGATCGACGCACTCAGCCACAATGTCGTCGACGGATAACATCGCGGAGGTGACAACGGCGTCGTCAACAGAAGCGTAGTCACGGTACGCGATTCCACTGGCACCAACAGTCTCCGTGGCAGTGTTTAGTTCGTCGCAGTCCTGCGAACGCACTGTCTTCAACAGCTTCTGTTGTATCATCTGCGCGCACACCGAAACACTTGTTGAAGCAGTGTTCAACTGTAGCAGCAGTGACGGCGGCTCCACGCCGATGCTAAATAATGCATCGCATCTAAGATAGTGACGCCTGCCGGCTGCTGCCTACGCTCCACGCTGACCAGGGACCGGTTTACAATGCACTTGCGGTAGAAGTGCTTTACATTTTTTATTATTCCAGCGTCCAAGGGCTGAAGGCGGCTTGTGGTGTTGGCAGGAAGAAAAACTACCTTTACGTTCCTGCAGCGACGCAGTGTCCTTGGGATGTGCGGAGCAGTTGTCGAGAAAAAGAACGACTTTTCTGTTCTGGCAGCCCATCTTAGAGTCCATGTATCTCAAGAACTCCTCAAAAAGTGAACACGTCATCCACGCCTTGGTATTATTGTTGTAGTGGCAGGGCAGGTGACGGATATTTTAAGGCAGCGTGGGTTTCGAAGCTTTCCTATCACCCACAGTTTCATCATTTTCGAACCATCGAAGTTGCACCACAGCAGCACTGTTCGTCGTTCCTTGCTGCATTTTCCACCGTGGCAAGCCTCGCCTTTTAGGCTCAGCGTCTTAGAGGGCTGTACCTTGAAAAAAAAAAAAAAAAAAGGCTTGCTTCATTGGCATTGTATATGTCTCTCGGCTCGTAGTCCTTTATAATAGACACCACGGTCTCTTTCCAGGCCTCAAAAGTCTCCGTGTCCACGCTTACAGCTCTCCGTTGACAGTGCGGTAGCATATTCCATGTCTGTTTCTGAAATGGTCGATCCAACCGTTAGATGCACAAAAATCATCGATACTGAGCTTGTCGGTGATCTCGAGTGCCTTTTCTCGCAGGATGGTACCGTCGAAGTTAACTCCTGCGGCCCTGGCTTGTTTGAACCATTCGAAAACGGCCTTGTCAAGCTGCACGTGCTCCGAACTCCGGACTTGCTTGCACTTGACGTCGAAGGTTCGGGCATTTTCTTTAAGTTCGATCCATTTTGCAACGATGGAGTTCAAGGTGGAAGGCGTCAGTCCTAACTCCTTCGCTATGCACACCTTCTTCCGCGTCGGGTTCTCTTTCACAACCCGGAGAATGTTCAACTTCTTTTGCAGCGAAAGTGATTTCCGCTTTCTTGATGTCATCCTGTTTGAAAACTATTTGGAGCATTGGAAGTGTAAAGGCACTATGCTGCACGCTTGTATAACCTGCGCAACGACTGATATGAAACAAAGGCAATACAAGAAGACCGCGGCAAGCACGAGTAGCCTGGGCGCGCATAAACAATGGTGATGGCGATCGGACTATACCTTTTGAATCGGGCCGCCTGCACGACCCAGTGGCAATAAGTTTAAGCCAGCGTGACATCCAAAGAAAACAAAAACAGGTCTCGGAGACCTTACTTTTACAGATGCCAAAACCAATTTTAGGGCCCCAACGCGTCATAATCCCAATCTTTCTTAGAGTGCAAATACGGATCTCAAAGGTCATGCTTTTGCTGGCATGAACCGAAAATACGTCATAGGTGTCGCCCTCGGCACTTTGGGCGGCCAATCCCATCGTCAAGCCCAGCTATATGAAAGACAACATGGCCGCTCGGGCTGGCGCGTCGAGGCACTTCGCAACGTATGATGCGGGAACGGTCTCACAGTTGCGACGCAGCAGCGGGGTTCCCAATGCATTGGATCCTATGGGAGCTGTGCCGGGACCGGCCGAAAATGACGTAACAGTCAGGAAAACGCAGCACACGGGAACGCAACAGCGGGGTTTTACTGTATAGCATTTTCCAAAAATCGTGTTTTTTTGCAATTTTAGGTCTCAAAGACACGCTTCTGCCCTTATTTCAATGTTCACAGTGGCAGGGCATGCATTTCATTTTGGCAACGACGGCACACCATGAGATGCACTCTCGAGGTCAGTGTATACCATCGTTAGCTGAATAGTTATGCCACGTTCTCAGCAAGTACACTTTCACAAGGTCTTACTGTACAAAGGCACCAATATTCTTCAATTGATCTATATGCACATCTTGAAATTGCACATTATGCCACCTAAAAGTTGTAGCTAAGAGTCTAAACTCCGTAGGAGCGCATTACCTGACTTCTTCGTTGTCCTCAAACTCACTGAGACAGATGGTGCACTTCTCCACGTTGTCCTCACTGTCACCACCACTTCGTGGAATCTGGAGAGAAATGTTACATTCGTTATCACGAGGCAGGCAGCTAGGCCTAAATACAAGCGAGCATGAAAAGCCTTTTGTATTCATGCTGCATCCTTCTGGCGACTACCTATTGTCAAATAATCAATCCATCACTCAGTGGAATACACAAATTCTACAGAAAAGCTTTGACCAAATTGCATATATGGAGCAAGTGATCAGCATTCTCAACTAAGGAACAGTAGCCCGTGGTTTCAGAGGGGTGGATGAAATCTACACTTACACATGTATAAATATAGAAGTAACTAAGAGTCAAAGTCTGATGAAGCAATAATTTGTTTATACAATTTCAATCTAAAATCAATTTATTTGTTTTTAAAATTTCAAGTATGCCAATGTGTCAGCATTTATGCAAGCAGCATCACTAGTGTTGGTTGCTTGTTCTTTGCAGGCAATTATTTGCAAGAGTCGGGAAACTCTAGGCCACCTTTAACAGCCTCTTCCCATTCTTGCATCTCCATAGCACATTACCACATATCATCTACATTGTAGAAGAATAAACAAACAGACTTTAACATGTTTTACAAGAAATTATTTTTACGACCTTGCTACAGGGGCAAACCTACCATAACATTGAGCGAATTCAGCGCTAGTGGCACGCTGTCAGATTGAAAGGTTTCAACATCAGCAGCTAGAGAGAGCTAACGAGTGAGTGTGTTCTATGAGCTTGCCTTGCTGCATTAAAGTATACAACGCCAAGTATAAATCAAAGTCGGTAGCACCTGTCTGAACACTGTGATAGAAGCACACAGTTTGCACAAGTTTGCCTCGGATGCCATTCCATCTTTTTCCGACTAGCAATCGAAGGCATCAGTTATGAGAGAAATTGGCGAACACAACGTATATGCAGCCTATGAGCACAGAGTCATAATTCATTAAATGTGCACCCGCCATGGCACTCCAGCTGTTCACCACACGTCGTATCATCATATTCCATTAAAAAGAAGCTAGTTTAAATGCACCACTTTCAACTTTTAAAGTAAAACTGCATTAATTCCAACTCAGTTATTTCAAAATTCTACTTAATCGGAATTATTTTCGTGGTCCCCTAATTCATAATGTAATACTGAGTGGATAATTTGAAGGGGCAGGACGCACCAGTGCAGTTAATTAGAAAACTATGGGTGCCACCTGCTAATTCCTGATAACGATTGCACCGAATATCCACGGAAACGATGGCCTTCAAGAGCCACAAGGCAATGCAATGTGGCAATACTAATGAGCGCCAGCTTCAGCATCCCATCCTTGCTACTTCCAGCAAAATGTCTCGTGGTCAGCTGTAATGTGTGCCTGCGGAAAACATACTTCACTGCATTATAGCAGTGACGCAACGTGCGAGCAGCTTATTGCATGCTTCTAGCAACATTAGTGCACCATGATTTATTTATTCTTTCTGGGAATAAAAATAAATTGATCAAAGACAGTTTAGCGAAATTCGCGATGTATGCGAACCTCCGATTGCGGGTTGCCCCAGCGTTCAGCGCACTTTCACTGCTAGTGAAATTCTTGCTTGCAATGCCTATTTGAAAAACTGAGTTTGAAAGTTTCAATGATGTTTTCCAGCAAAAATACACCAAGAATTTAATAATACTGGCCATTATTAAATTCCTTATTTAACCAGAAAGAATGGGCGAATGACCGCTGACTCAGAGTGAGGAGCAGGTGACATGCTGCCCCTGTGTCACTACTGTGTTGCAGCAAAGACGTCTTGTTTCTGCAGGCGCGCATGACAGTCGACATAATTCATAGCATTTTTTTTTTTGCGCTCTTTCCTCCCCCCCCCCCCCCCCCTCAGTTGCAGCAGCGAGGCCTGCCATTCCCCTTGCATTTGGGGCAAAATTGGGACCAGGTATTACTAGAAAACATAACCCTTGGAGTCACAAACTAGCCGGCACAGCAAACAACCAGCCCTGATTACTTCGAATAGTTCTAAGTTCCTTGCATCCCACTTTTTGTACTTTCCATTAAGGGGGGACACGGGTCTTTGAAGCCGAAAAATCGCCAAAAAAGCAATTTTTTGTAAACAGCATTTTCAGAAACTACAGGTATTTTTTTACAGGTGTACCGACTTTCATATCTCTCCGATCAATAATTTAGCTGTAATATTAAATTCCTAGCCCGTGCGCGTGCGGAATTCGCGCAGCTCCGGACACCAAAACCCAGTTTTTTATAAATTCGTAACTCCATGTCCACAGCTGCACTCGTGGCCATTTTGGTATCGTTTGAAAGAGCAGTTTTTCGCCTTCAAATTGCCGCCACTGTGGCTTCTGTGCGTTCATTGGTTGCGGAGAAAACAACCATCAAAAAAGAGTAAAAACGCATGCTACGATTGGTTGTTTAGTGCACAGGACCGTTTCTCAGATTGGCTGAAGTCGGCTTGTGGCGTCTGCTCTGGCTGCGTTGTGCGCGCTTTGCTGGCCCCCGTCGGCGACATTCCTGAATTCTGCGATAGACGATGGAGCGGTGTGCGTCGGCGTCTCGAGTGGGAAAGTTCCACTCAGTGCACAGATTCGGAAAGAAAAGAAAAAAAAGCCTCATCGCTAACACCACGAAGCGTCGGGCAGCACCAGCAGCGAGCGTCGAGGACGGCCGGTCATCAGCGCCAAGCATCGCCTCCGCCGAGCCGGCTGGTGTAGGCCTAACGGCTCCACCAGCGTGTGAAAGTGCGAGTGGAAGTGGCCGTGTTCGCATTGATACAAAAATCCTGCAGCCAGCAGAGTTGCACGAAAATGCGAGAAATGCCGAAGCCAAGCTACAAGAGCTGGCGTCCATTTCAGCAACGACGCGAAAACAAGATCGCCTGGCTGCTGCCGGTGACGGTGCCGCGGCCGACTCGGCTGACAACGTGAGCTTCGTCGTCATCAGCTTAGACTGTGTGAATGACTTGTTGAGGTGCGTGAAGTGTAAAACTTGCGGCGGTGATGTGAATATCAGCAAATGCGATCGGGAGTACGGTCTGGCTGTGAAGCTTTTGATTACGTGCGTCAACTGTGGTGACATTTCGTCAGCGTGGAGTTCGCCGCGTGTGGCCGGGGACCAAAACATAAACCCATTCAGCGTCAACATCCTCGCAGCGCGTGCAATGAAAAGCACCGGCAATCGTCAAACGGCGCTCAACGATATTTGTTCTGCCATGAATATATCGCACCGGGGTCTGCACACGAAGACGTGGCAAAACTATGTGAAAAAAAAAAACTGTTGCCTGCAGCGGCCTCTGCTTCCGAGGAGTTGATGACCGAGTGCGCGAGTTCCGTTCGAGAGCTCTATCGCGAGCTCGGTACTAACATACCTGGCAACATCGCCGTTTCCTACGATGGGTCTTAAATGACTCGCGGACATTCTTCCCACATCGGCGTCGGAACGGTGATTGAGCTTTTTACAGGGTTTGTATTGGACTATGTTGTCTTGAGCAATTTCTGTGCAGCCTGTGAGCAGAAGCCTAAGGAGAACGACCCTTCGTACCAAACGTGGGTGGAAAACCACCAATGTCAAAAAAACACCAGCAAGAAAGCTGGTGAAATGGAAGTTGAGGCCGCACTTATCCTTTTCCGAAGGTCTCTCTCCAAACACAACCTCCGCTACACAACCGTGTTGTCAGACGGAGACAGTCGGGCCTACCTCGCTTTGCAGGAAGAAAAGGTGTACGGCTACATGGACATCCTGAAGGAGGACTGCGTCAACCACGTCCAGAAGCGCATGGGCACAAACCTGCGAAAGCTGCTTTCCCAGCACAAGAGGCATGGCCTTGGGGGCAAGGGCAGACTCACTGGAAATTTGGTCAACAAGTTGACATCATATTATGGGTGGGCCTTGAAGTCCCACAAGGGGGATGTAGATGCAACGCACAGGGCTGTTATGGCAACCTACTTACATGTCACTTCACGTGATGATGCACCCAACCACAGCCTTTGTCCAACAGGCCCTGACTCGTGGTGCCGGCAAAATGCAGCCGAGGCCAAAGGACAGCCGCCGCCAAAGCACCGCTATAGCTTGCCCGCCCATGTGTGTGAAGCGTTGCTGCCTGTCTACGAGCGCTTATCGGATAGGAAGCTGCTGGAGCGGTGCCAGCGTGGCAAGACGCAGAATAACAATGAAAGCTTGCACGCCATGATCTGGGCGCTTGCATCAAAGGAGCGGCACGCTTCACTGTTTACTGTTGAGGCTGCTGTCGGTGAGGCCGTCATGAAGTTCAATGCTGGCTATACAAGAGCTGCAACAGGCATCCTCAAAAAGCTCAGCCTGACCCCTGGCCGGCAAAACTCGAAACGCATGGCAGAGAAGGACAAGCGGAGGATGACCGCATCTGCTCGAAAGCATGTGTCGGCTGAAAATGTGAAGCAGGCCCTGGGAAAGCGCCACAGAGTCGACAAAGGTCAAAAGGACTATGTTCCTGGTGGATACTAGGCACTTGCTAGTGTAAGCATGTAAATATTTCCTGGTGTTTCTCATTAAATTTGACGTTTTGTGTTTTTGCTCATTTTCTCAAAAGCTGAATTTCTGACTTCTTGCAAGCTTGCCGAAGCAATATCTCAGCACTGCGGGTAGATAGAGCTATAATTCTTTTTTTAGGACAAAGCCAATGGGGTGGTGTTTGAAATGTAGCAAACAGATTTTTGAAATTTCTTTCGAGCAAATTTTAAATTTGCTTTATTTCTGGGTGACTGGTGGCACTATTTCAAGTGCTCAAGTTCAGTTAGCTGTAAAATCTCTTACAAGCAATTAATCAAAAAACTGCTTGCTATGTTGCAATCACCAGTGTTTCTATTTCTAGTATCTGACATATGCAGATTATAGTTTTTTGATGAATACCGTATTTACTCGATTCTACCGCGCCCTCGATTGTAACGCGCACCCGATTTCCACCGCGAAAAAAAAAAAAAAGTAAGACATCGATTGCAACGCGCACCCATTTTTTCTCGCTGGCCCGCATGATTACACCACTCGAAAAAACGACTCCTTTCGGG